CCCGGCTGCTCGGGTGGCTCAGGTGGCGCTGCGGCTCGGGTGGCTCGGTAGCAGCTCGGCTGCGCCGGCGGCTCGGTGGTGACGGCGGGGCCGCTTGGGGACAGCGGCGGGGCCGGGTGGAGCGGCGACGGGGCCAGCAGAGGCGGCGACGGAGCCGGGAAGGGCGGCGCCGGAGCCGTAGAGGTAGGCGATGGGGCCAGTAAAGGCGGCGCCGGGGCCGGTAAGGGCGGCGTCGGGGCCAGCAGAGGTGGCGCCGGGGCCGGGAAGGGCAGCGCCGGGGCCGCAGGGGTAGGCGACGGGGCCAGCAGAGGCGGGGCCGGGTCGGGAAGGGCGGCGTCGAGGTCGCCGGGGTAGGCGACGGGGCCAGCCGAGGTGGCGCCGGGGCCAGGAAGGGCGGCGCCGGGGCCGCAGGGGTAGGTAACGGGGCCGCGAGGGCGGCGTGACGCGGCCGCTAGGGCGGCGCGACGAGATAGGGCCGCGACAGGGCAGCGAGGGGTCGTGCGCGGCAAGAAGCAAAGAAACAGATTGGGTGACTGCTCACAGGCGCCTCAGACACGTCAACATGACGGTATTGCAGCAGCTGGTCAAGGAGGAAGCGGTAAATGGATTGAAGCTGAGCGGCACCGCCCCGCAACATACGTGCGAAACATGCTTGGTGAGCAAATTCACCAGATTCCCTTTCTCCTCGGTCTCCAAGCGTAGTAAAAAGCCGGTGGAACTAGTGCACATGGACCTCGTCGGACCACTGCCATTACAAGGGGATGGGGGAGAGCGATATTTTCTTACGATCATCGACGAATGGAGCAGAGTCATGTGGGCCTACCCCTTGAGGGAAAAGAGCGATGCAGCATCGGTGATTCAAGATGAATGGATTCCTACATTAGAAACACAATCTCAATGTCGGGTGAAGCGGATTCGCACTGATCGTGGTGGAGAATTCACGGGAGACAAGCTGGAGAAGTGGCTGAAGAAGAGGGGAATCATAAAGGAAAAGACCACAGCTTATTCTCCACAGTCCAACGGGGTAGCTGAGTGAGCAAACAGAACGATTCTCGAGACAGCCCGGGCACTACTCATCGAGTCCGGTCTCGGAAACTCAAAGTGGCCGCATGCTGTAAGGCATGCAACGGTGGCACGAAATAGGGTCCTCACGAATGTCGGAGATAAGAGTTGGGTTCCAATGAGACGGTGGCTCAAGTGGAAGCCGCCAGTTCACATGCTGCGCGTATTTGGATGCATGGCAGTGGCTCACGTTCCCAAAGCCCACAAGAGCAAGTTAGGAGCGAGCGCGATCTGGTGCGTGCACCTTGGCCTGGCACAGGAAAGCAAAGGGTGGCTGCTGTGGGAACCGAAGAAAGGGCGTTTCATCGACAGCCGAGACGGGAAATTCCTTGAGAACGTGATGTACGGGAGCTGGAAAAAACAGTCGGAGGAGAAAACTGCACAGCAGCTGCAGGAGATTTCTCTGTCATTCGATCTGACTCAGGAGGAAGCCCCTCAGGCAGAACCTGCAGAAACCAAGGAAAACGGGGTCAAAGTGGGGCAAGGTAGCGAGGAGCCAACCGAGGAGTATAGTCGAGCAAAAGGGAAGGAAGAGCAGCAGCATCCTCTCACTCAAGTGAAACCTCCATCCCTGCCCGCGAGGAGAACTCAAACGCGCTCAATATCTAATAGAGCAGCATCAGCAACCGCAGCAGATCTGATGAGGACCGCGGCGCTGAAGCTGAGAAACCTAAACCTATGGGAACTAGAAGGGGCGCTTCAAGAAAGGGAAGATGCTCTATTAGTGACAGGGGACGGAACCAAGACTGAAAGCAAGGAAGAGCCGGCTTACTGCTTCGTGATCCCTGAACAACCAGCGAGCATGGAGGAAGCCCTCGCCGGAGCAGACAAGGAAAAATGGCTTGCGTCCAGGGATGTTGAATACAACAGCCTACTAAAGAATAACACCTAGGAACTCGTTCCCTTACCGGAAGGGAAAAGGGCGCTTCAGTGCAAATGGGTCGTGTGGATCAAAACTGACGAGAAGTGCGAGGTGATAGTGTACAAGAGCAGATTGGTGGCAAAGGGTTTTCAACAGAAGGAAGGGGCGGATTTTCGAGAGCTTTTTGCGCCCACTGCTAAACCTCCAACTCTGAAAGTAATTCTTGCTGACGCAGCAGTGAGCAGATGGTACATCCAACAGATGGATGTAACCACGGCTTTTCTCTACGGGGTAATCGAAGAGGAAGTCTACATGGAGCAGCCTTCGAAATATGAGGATAGAACGGGGAGAGTATGCAAGCTGAACAAGGCAATCTACGGTCTCAAGCAGGCACCAAGGTGTTGGTATAAAAAATTGGCAGCCGTTTTGGGGGAGCTGGGATTCAGAGAAAGCAGCTGTGATGAGAGCTTGTTTCTGAAGGGCGAGAAGGAGGAGATGGTGCTGTTCTTGGTGTATGTCGACGACATACTACTATTCAGCAGCAGCATAAAGGAGATTCAAAAGGTGCAGAAAGGGCTCATGGAGACTTTCCAGTGCAAGGTCCTTGGAGAGGCTTCCTACTACCTCGGCATGCACATCGAACGCGACCCTGATCACATGTGGCTGAAGCTTCATCAAGAGAAGTACGTGAAGCAACTGCTGGAGAAGTACGACATGGAGCTCGGACGGAAGGTCGCCACCCCACTACCATGCCAATTCAAACTTGTCAAAGCGGAAGAAGGAGAAGGAGTTGAGGAGAGAGAGCAGCGGCGCTACCAATCACTTGTGGGGAGCCTTCTGTACGCCGCTGTACACACAAGGCCGGACATCTCCTTTGCGGTCGGACAACTCGCCAGGGTGGTGTCCAACCCAACTGAGGAACAAGTTGACGCAGCCGAAAGAGTCGTGAAGTACCTGAACTCCTTCCCATATCAAGGAGTTCAATTCTCAGCAACGGCACAGCAGAAGCAGAAGGGGGTAGAGCTGCTGAGGGAGAAGGGAGAAAGGTTACCGGAACGGAAACTCTTTCTCACTTGCTTCTCGGACGCAACCTGGGCATCGGAGCAGGAAGACTCATCCTCTCTGGGTGGATATATCTGCGTGATAGGGGGAGGACCGGTGAGCTGGAGGTCCAAGAAACTGAGTGAATCGGCTCTTTGATCTGCCGAGTCCGAGTACATGGCCATGTTTCATGCCGTCAAGGAAATCATATGGCTGAGAAGGTTACTGGAAGAGATTGGACAAGAGCAGACAATTCCCACGCCACTCTACTGCGACAATATGTCAGCAATCGCAATGGCTCGCAACGTTGTCCTTCACGGCCTCAACAAACACATGCGCCTGAAGTGGCACTGGTTGCGCAAGGAAGTCAACCGAGTCAACCCGATCTTCATTAAGACACAGCAGCAACCGGCAGATATGTTGACCAAGAGGCTGGCTGACGAACCACACTGGCGATGTGCGCGGATGAGCGGCATGAGCATGAACTAAGGGAGAAGGGGAGAAAAACCGACAGATTCAGGGGGAGTGTGTTAATACAGAATCAATTTTCGGTATATCAATCAGCCGGTTTATCTCCTGGGAGTGCACAACTCATTTGAGGCGAGAAGCGCTGAGGCGGATCGTTTATTATCGAAGTGGGATTTAGCTTTGACCAATGGGAGGTGTCGGTTCATAAACTCGGCTTGACTCGACTGATCGATCGATCAAAAGGCAGCACGGAATTCCCGTTCGCGCTGCAAGCTCGTTGGTGCTCAAAGCGACAAATTTCGACTGCGCTGATTGGTCAATGTTCGCGCAGCGATTTCGTCGTTCTGAACAGGTTCCGAACATGTTCAGAACAGGTTTTCGAACATGTTCTGAACAGGTTCCGAACACGTTCAGAACAGGTTTCGAACATGTTTTGAACAGTGTTCACGCAAGTTCGTAACAGGCTTCGAACAAGCTGACGCGGCTGAAGCAGAGGGCAGCTACTCGCGCACCGACATTCTGAGAGCTGCACTCTCGCCATCTGGAACTCGTCAGCTCGAGAAAGGGCTCACGACTCAAGCGATCAAAGTATGTGGCGAAACCGCTAACGCCACCAGTATTTCAAGCGAGGAGATTGGCCCAAATCAGCGCGCATGTTCAAGACAGCGAAGCTGACTCAAATAAACAGAACGGATCGATCGGAGCCGTTATCAGAAGAGCGCGAAAATGCGAACGGATCAATGCCGTTAATAAAATTCGTGCGAACGGTTAAAATATTCGCCGACGAATCGCAACCTAGCCGAGTCACAAAATAAAACGAGGGAAACGCGAAAATTGCTCGCGCCTCGCTAATGATAGGAATTGCTTAGAGATGTTAGATATCTAGCAGTAGGATCAGCCTAGAGAATATAAAAATGTATGTCTTGGATATTAAAAAATACTCTCTGCCTATCAAGCATTCTCCCACGCGACTCTCAAGTTTATCAAGGATTCTCTGACTACGCCGCAACATAGGATTTCCGCTGCTACAGTTCTACGCTACTGAGACTCTCTTTCGACAAACTCGGACCCTTGGATAGGGGCTGATTTCGGTCAGGCACCCAAGGACCCTCGGAGGTGACCCCGAGAAGAGTTGTTTCAGCTGTCGTGGTACTCTCAGCAGTAGGAACTAGGTGATTTGTACGTAACAAGAACACATCTCGGGCAGGGTGTCCCAAAACACGTCGAGATTACAACTGTTTGACCCGCTGCAACGTGGTGCAGAATCCAGGAACGCGGTGCATTGCATCCGATTGGTGCGCGCCAGCGCAACGCCAAGCCGACCCAACAACAGCCCTCGAAACATGACGAAACTACAACACTATTGTTCCACAATTGCTGAAGCACGTGAAAGCTGTGATATCTCCTGGAAGTGTAACACCAGATACAAGACTCTGTGACACTTCCAGCATTAATAGTTCTTTCGGAACTGCAGCCACCTTCTCGACAATCATTCCATTCCATTCCATCCTTGCCAACTCCGCAATCAACTGACGCAGGCAAAGCACAAAGCTGCAAGGAACCGAACCTATAGGCTGGCATAACAGAAAGGTGGGTTGGTTTCAGGCTCAGCCACGAGGAAAGGGGAAGCGTGGGCCACGCGGATACAACGGGCCAGCACTGGGAGCATGCCCTCCCAGAGACCCTCCCCTGTGCCCTCCTGCCCCACCAGGCGGCCCAAGCAACGGCCCCACTCCTTGTGGGCCCATCCTCTGCCCTGCCATCCCTGCCCCGCCCATGCCGCCCATGCCTGCAACACTGCCCACGCTTCCCATCCCCATCCCTTGGCCCATCCCCATACCTGGACCTACCCCTGCAATGCCTTGACCTGCCCCCAAGCCCATCGCCCCTCCAGTCACCCCACCGGGCTGCGCAGCAGGAGAAGGCGAGGAGTACCAGCCAAGGCCCGATGCGAGGGGGCGCAGTGTGAGCGACGGCACTGCCAGGTTGCCGCTGCTGCTACCGCTCAGGGGTTGCGCGGATGCACCCACGTGCTGGCCTGCCCGCTGGTGGGCGGGCGTGTGGGGACTGGCCGCACGCACATGAGGGGGCGTGCGTGCATTGAGGCGGTGCTGGGGGAACGGAGAGGTGGAGGGCGGAGGGGCAGAGCGGAGGAGGTGTGATGGGAGCGCTGGCATGGGCTGGTGCATGGGGGAGGGGTTGAACCTCCCAGGAGGAGGGCCGAGGCGAGGGGAAGGGCCGATGGGAGGCGACGGACGGAGGGGAGGAGAGAAGAGCACGGAGGGTCGCATATGAGGCGTGAAGGGAGAGGGAGGGCCAGGGCGGGGGTGCACGAGTGGGGGGGATGGGTGGTGCGGCATGCGGTGGGGAGGAGGGCCGGCACGGCCCGGGGGGGAGCTGAGGAGGGCGCGATGGGTAGGGCGGGGGAAGGGCGGCCCCAACGCAGCAGAGCCCATGCCCATGCCCATACCCCTGCCCATGGCCATGGGGGGCATGGGGCGCATGGGTGGGCCCTGGGGGAAAGGCCGGTGGAACTGCTGCTGCTGCTGCCGCTGGTGTTGGTGGTGAGGGAGGAGGGGAGCAGAGGTGAAGGGGCGGTTGCCATTGGCGGTGATGGCGGCGGCGTGCAGCAGGCGCTGCGCCTCAAAGCGGTCGCGGTCCACTATGCGGTGCGCCTGGGGGCGAGGAAGCGCCGCGTACAGCACCTCGTCAAACACGTCCCGCCCCCGCGACTCCGCTGCTGTCAGCGGCAACACAAAGTTGGCTGACCGGGTGCATGGGGCACAGCGATGAGGTAGGGGGAAATGGGAGGTGCGGTGGGGAAAGTGATTGATCAGCTGCTGGTTGTGGTGACAACTGCTGGACGAATCTGCATTGGAGTGGACGACTCAAAAAGTCATGTGCTCTGCTGTAGGGACAGCCTAAGAGGAGGAGCTAAGAGGAGGCCACGCACCTTTCATCTCCTGCACTGCAAGAAGAGGCACCTCCTTGCCTGTCTCCTTGGTGCGGCGGTCACTGCGACGCCTCCACTCCGTGTATGTCAGCACCACCACCACCGCCACCTGGGCGAGGGATGTGCATGACACACACACATGCACACATGCACACACACATGCACACATGCACACATGCACACACACAAGCACACAAGCACACACACATGCACACATGCACACATGCACACACACAAGCAGACATGCACACATGCACACACACATGCACACATGCACACATGCACACACACATGCAGACATGCACACATGCACACACACATGCACACATGCACACACACATGCACACATGCACACATGCACACACACATGCACACATGCACACATGCACACACACATGCACACATGCACACATGCACACACACATGCACTCACGCACACACACATGCCAACACACATGTACACATGCACACATGCACACACACACATGCCAACACACATGCACACACACATGCACACATTCACAAACACACACACACACACACACACACACACACACACACACACACGTGCACACATACCCACACGCATCCACACACACATGCACACACACACGCACACACACATGCACACATGCACACGCGCACATGCCAACACAAATGCACACAACCGCACACATGCCCACACAAATGCACGCATGCGTGAGAGCATGAACTACATGGGAGCAATTGCAGCAATAAAAGCAGCAGCAGAACATACAGAAAAGGGGCACGACTCGATGCCATCAAGCTTCAGATTCACTCCATGACATCTCGCCTCGCCTCCCTTACCATACCAGCTTTCCGCTTTCCCTTCTCTTCCCCCCCTCCTTCCCTTCTCGTCTTTCCCTCTCTCCTGCAACAACCCCACAACCGCATCCCCCTCCCCGTCCCATTTCTCTCCGCCCATTCCTCTCCCCCCATCCTCCCCTCCCCCAACAGCACCGCACCTTCTTAAAGTGGTGGAAGGGGCGCAGCTTGCGGCGGCGGGCGTGGGCGTACACGTTGGTCTGGTCCAGGATGTAGTTGCGCGGCACGGCAGCAGCGCGCTCCACCAGCGTGCCAAACACCTGCGATGCCATCGGCATCAGCTGCGCCCACCGCTGCCCATACCCCTCCTCGCTCCGCTCGCCCTGCTTGCCTTGCCCGCCTGGCCCCTGTGGTGGCGAGCGGAAGAGGGTGTGTGTGTGATGAGGGGAGGGGCGGGCGGAGAGAGTGAGAGTGGGGTATTAGTGTTGGGGAGAAAGGGAGGAAGCGAGTAGACGCTTATGAGGATTTTGAAGGCGATTCAGGTAGAGGGCAAGGGTGCAATAGGAGGCAAGGGCGCAATAGGGCGTGGAGAAGAAGGGGAGGGATTGAAGAGGAGGGGGGTTGATATGCATGGGCCTATGTTGATGGTGCAAGTGCCATGGAGCATTCGAGACAGCTGCAGAAACGATGTGGAGGGACACAGCCGAGAGGTGGGAGGGGTGTGGGAGGGGGGTGGGAGGGGGGTGGGAGGGGGGTGGGAGGGGGGTGGGAGGGGGGTGGGAGGGGGGTGGGAGGGGGGTGGGAGGGGGGTAGGAGGGGGGTGGGAGGGGGGTGGGAGGGGGGTGGGAGGGGGGTGGGAGGGGGGTGGGAGGGGGGTGGGAGGGGGGTGGGAGGAGGGTGGGAGGGGGGTGGGAGGAGGGTGGGAGGGGGGTGGGAGGGGGGTGGGAGGGGGGTAGGAGGGGGGTAGGAGGGGGGTGGGAGGGGGGTGGGAGGGGGGTGGGCGGGGGGTGGGAGAGGGGTGGGAGGGGGGTGGGAGAGGGATGGGAGGGGGGTGGGAGAGGGGTGGGAGGGGGGTGGGAGAGGGGTGGGAGGGGGCATGATGTGAATCAACAAGAATTTTCTGATCACGCAAAGTCACTTCCCCAACCCCCCCCCTTTCACCATCTCCCCACGCAGCACCACCATCATCCCTTTCATCCCCCCTTTCTCCCTCCCTCCCCTTTGCCCCACGTGCCCCCCCATGCGCACCTGCATGAGCGCCAGCACGCGGTCAGTGCCCAGCACCACATAGCGCTTTTCCAGATGTGCCCTCGCCCTCTCCTCCGCCCACGTGGACTTGCCACTACCCGGCAGCCCCACCATCATCACCACCTCGCACTCCTCCCTCTTGCCCAACGCCGGCCCCGCCACACGCACCACCACGCCCCCTCCTCCCGCCTCTGTTGCTTCTCCAGCTCCACTCCCCTCCCCCCCTGCCCCTGCCCCTGCCCCTGCCTCTGCCCCTGCCCCTGCCTCTGCCCCTTCCCCTGCCTCTGCCCCTGCCCCTGCCCCTGCCCCTGCCCCTACCCCCTCAGTGGCCTCTGCAGCCTGAGCCCGATCTCCCCCATCCCCATGCCCTGCCTCCTGCTTCGCTGCGGCCTCCCCACTGCTCTGTGCGTTGGCAGCAAGGGGCGTGCTTGCAGGGACGGTGGTAGGGGGGGCAGCCCCAGCCTCGGAAGGGGCGGCGCAGGGAGCGGAGAGGAGGGGCGCGTCGGACCAGGGCAGGTAACCTGGGGGGGGTGAGAGGCCGTCCGCGAGTGAGAACTGTAGACGCACTGCAGAGAAGGAGGGACGGGTTAAGGTTAGGGCAGGGCCGTAGGGGCATGCGAGGGGGCAAGGCAAGCGAGGGGGCGAGGCAAGCGAGGGGGCGAGGCAAGCGAGGGGGCGAGGCAAGCGAGGGGGCGAGGCAAGCGAGGGGAGCGAGGCAAGCGAGGGGAGCGAGGCAAGCGAGGGGAGCGAGGCAAGCGAGGGGAGCGAGGCAAGCGAGGGGAGCGAGGAGGACATGACTGACGGCCAGGAGCGAGGGAGCGCGGGAGGGTGCGAGGGAGGGAGGGAGGGAGGGAGGGAAGGAGGGAAGTGGAGGGAGAGAGGGAGGGAGGGAGGGAGGGAGGGAGGGAGGGAGGGAGGGAGGGAGGGAGGGAGGGAGGGGGGGAGGGAGGGAGGGAGGGAGGGAGGGAGGGAGGGAGGGAGGGAGGGAGGGAGGGAGGGAGGGAGGGAAGTGGAGGGAGAGAGGGAGGGAGGGAGGGAGGGAGGGAGGGAGGGAGGGAGGGAGGGAGGGAGGGAGGGAGGGAAGGAGGGAAGTGGAGGGAGGGAGGGGGGGAGGGAGGGAGGGAGGGAGGGAGGGAGGGAGGGAGGGAGGGAGGGAGGGAGGGAGGGAGGGAGGGAGGGAGGGAGGGAGGGAGGGAGGGAGGGAAGGAGGGAAGTGGAGGGAGAGAGGGAGGGAGGGAGGGAGGGAGGGAGGGAGGGCGTGAGGGAGGGAGGGAAGGAGGGAAGTGGAGGGAGAGAGGGAGGGAGGGAGGGAGGGAGGGAGGGAGGGAGGGAGGGAGGGAGGGAGGGAGGGAGGGAGGGAGGGAGGGAGGGAGGGAGGGAGGGAAGGAGGGAAGTGGAGGGAGGGAGGGGGGGAGGGAGGGAGGGAGGGAGGGAGGAGGGAGGGAGGGAAGGAGGGAAGTGGAGGGAGGGAGGGGGGGAGGGAGGGAGGGAGGGAGGGAGGGAGGGAGGGAGGGAGGGAGGGAGGGAGGGAGGGAGGGAGGGAGGGAGGGAGGGAGGGAGGGAGGGAGGGAGGGAAGGAGGGACGTGGAGGGAGAGAGGGAGGGAGGGAGGGAGGGAGGGAGGGAGGGAGGGAGGGAGGAGGGAGGGAGGGAGGGAAGGAGGGACGTGGAGGGAGAGAGGGAGGGAGGGAGGGAGGGAGGGAGGGAGGGAGGGAGGGAGGGAGGGAGGGAGGGAGGGAGGGAGGGAGGGAGGGAGGGAGGGAAGTGGAGGGAAGGAGGGAAGTGGAGGGAGAGAGGGAGGGAGGGAGGGAGGGAGGGAGGGAGGGAGGGAGGGAGGGAGGGAGGGAGGGAAGGAGGGAAGTGGAGGGAGAGAGGGAGGGAGGGAGGGAGGGAGGGAGGGAGGGAGGGAGGGAGGGAGGGAGGGAGGGAGGGAGGGAGGGAGGGAGGGAGGGAGGGAGGGAATTGGAGGGTGGGAGGGAGGGAGGGAAGTGGAGGGTGGGTGGGAGGGAGGGAAGTGGAGGGTGGGTGGGAGGGAGGGAAGTGGAGGGTGGGAGGGAGGGAGGGAAGTGGAGGGTGGGAGGGAGGGAGGGAAGTGGAGGGTGGGAGGGAGGGAGGGGAGTGGAGGGTGGGCGCGGGGCAAGGCATCCCGCATTACCTTTGACATTCTTCACGAGCACGTGGGGGAAGAGCGCTGCTTTCAACCACGCATTCCCGTCCTCCACGCCACCACCACTCACGGTGCCTTCCCTTGTGGCATCACCGGCACTCCCCGTGCCCCCCACCCCTCGCCCCTGCTCGCCACCATCTACCTCCATCTCTGTGCTCCTGCCCTTGTCATTTTCGCCCGCATCCCCTCCCTCTCTCGTCCCCTCCTTGCCCTCCTCCCCTGCCACCTTACCCATCTCCCCTCCACCTTTTTTCTCCTCGCCTCCACCTTCGCCCTCCTCCTTTCCTTCGCTGCCCTTCTCTCCTCCCTCCTCCCCCAACTCTTTGCCTTGCTCTGTTCCCTCAATGCCCTTCTCACCGCCTTCCTTGCCCTTCTCACCGCCTTCCTTGCCCTTCTCACCTTCCCCTTTGCCCTCCTCCCCTACCTCCACGCTCTTTTCCATTGTTCCAACCTCTCCATCCGTTCCGTTCCTTCCTTCAACTTCACCGCCCTCCCCTCCCTTCACCTCTCCCCCTTGCCCCCCACCCCCTCCTGCCGCCCCTTCCCCATCGCCCTCCACCGCTTCAACCTTCTCTGCCACACCAACCTCCCCTTCTTTACCCTCCTCCGCCTTCCTTTTTTCCTCCCCGCCCACCACCCCACCCCCTTCCCCCGCAGCAGCCCCCACTCCTTCCCCCTCATCCCGCGCCTCAACACTCCCCACCTCCCCTCCTCCCGCAACCCCGCCCCCTTCGTCCCCTTCCCCCCCTCCTCCCCCCTCCGCCAGCTCCGCAGCGCCCCCCAGAGGCGGGAGGCGGAAGGCCTCGCCGAGCCAGGCGCCGTTGAGCGCGAAGGCGAGGGCGCGCGCAGGGAGGTCCACGGCACACAGCACCACGTCCCCGCGCGCCCAGGGGCGCGCGTACGGGGCGACCGCGCCCCCCGTGATTTTCTGAACGGCGTGTGAGGTCAGGACGAAATTGATGGAGAGGGGGGGAGAGCGGGCACGTTAAGGAAGCGGAAAACGAGGGGGGCGGGGAGAGAGGGGAATGAGGGGAGGCAAAAGTGACAGAGGCAGGGAGCACGAGGACGAGAAGAATGAACGATGGCTGGACGCTGCAAGGCGGCTTCATGGGTTCACCGCTCCCCACTCCTAAACCCCTCTCCCATTTCCCCATCTCCGGTCTTCCCTCTCCTCTCTCCCCTCTCCCCTCTCCCCTCTCCTCTCTCCCCTCTCCCCTCTCCCCTCTCCTCTCTCCCCTCTCCCCTCTCCCCTCTCCCCTCTCCCCTCTCCCCTCTTCCCTACCCTCGCTCACCCTCCCCAAGGGCTCATCACCTTGCCCTACCGCTCTTCATCGTACCCCACCTGCCTCCCCGCTCGCCACTCCCCGCGCCACTCCCCTCGCCGCTCCCTTACGCGCCCACACCCCCTTCTCCTGCACCTCTGTCCCTCCCCCATCTCCCCTCCGCACCCCACCTACCTTCCCACTGCTGCCATATGCAAAGCTGTCACGTGTCTCCCCCAGCGACCCCACGTCAGCATCCAACGTGGACACGCCTATCCGACACAAATATCTCTCGTCCTCCGGGATTCCCACAACCGTCTCCCCGCCTGTGCCCGCTTGCGCCCTATCCCCCGCCGCTGCTGCCCCTCCCAGTGCTGCGGCGCCCGCCGCCCCTCCCCGCAGCACCCGCGCGTCCAGCGCCTGCTCCTCCTCCACCACGCACGCGAAACAATACCGCCCGCCGCTGCCGCCGCCTCCGTCGTGCGCACTAGCCGTTCCCGTCGCGGCAGGCCCCGCTCCTTCCGCCGCTGCTTCCAACCCCACATGTGCTATCACTGCCCCCTCCCCTTGCCCTGTCGCCCCCCCCTGAGCCGTGCTCGCAGAGGCGTCCGCTGCCCCCGAGGCTGCTGCGGGGGTGGCAGCAGACGGGGCGCGAAGCGCGATGCCGTAGTTGGCGCGCGCGCCCGACCACATGTACGCGAAGCCGCCGTGCGATAAGCCCGCGCCCAGCAGACCGCGATCCGATATGGTGAAATCTGATTGACGGGAGAAACGACGGTGCGCGGGAGAGAGACGCAAGAGAGAGGGCAGGAAAAGGGAGAGGTGAGAGCGGGTGGCAGGGGTTGACGAAGGCGGCACCAGCAGTGTGCTTATCACGCACCGAGGGTGCAGTCCGCAGGGTTTAGCGCCATAGCCGTTGGATCATCCGGCATGGCGGGCTCCTTCTTGGAAGAGGAATCGCAGCCGTTCGCTGGCTGAGACGCATCGGCCAGGATCGAAGGGTCGGGTCTCGCCTTCTTAGCCTTGTGAACCTCGCCGTCGCCGTCATCGCCAGTGTCGCCAGCGTCGCCGGCGCCGTCGCCAGCTGCTAGATCCACGTCGCATGCGTCGCCAAGGCCGTCGTCGCCATCTCCGATGTCCACGTCGCACGCGTCGCCGAGACCGTCTTCGCCATCTCCAAGATCTTCGTCGCATGCGTCGCCAAGACCGTCGTCGCCCTCTCCAAGATCCTCGTCGCATGCGTCGCTGCCCCCTACCTCGAGGAGGCCTTCGACCGCGTCGCACTCCGCATCGCCAGGCTCGGCGTCTGCGTCCATCCCAGTCGTCTCCTCCTCCAGATCCAACAGTGAACCGTCATCCGCCGTAGCTTCCTCTTTCTCCGCCACGGGTTGTGCGCCGCCATCGCTAGTCGCCATAGCGGGGCGACTGTTCGCGAGCTGATCGGCTGCTTGGTGGATTAGCAGCAGCAATGAGATGAGTGTGGTGTATGAAAGGAAATGGTAACTGCTGTCGTTTATCTCTGCGAAACCTCGCCTACGTACTGGAGCCACAAACCCTCACGGATACTTGTGATTTGAGGGCGTGTCCAGTTCGTTCATTTGGGGGTTTTTTGTGCCAACACACGTCTCTAGGTTCAAAAATATTCACTGTACCTAAAAACGAATGCATTGTGAGTTGAGTCCTACCTATCTGTAACTTCAGGAGCGCGGACACGTTCTCCGCCACACGAATCAACAGTGCTCTGATCGCGTTCGAAACGAGGTAACAGTTCCCCTCGTCAATCATAGCCAACAAATTTTTGGGCAGGCGGGGGGGGGGGGGGGGGGGGTGTTGGCGAGTGTAGCAAGCTGCTGGCGAAATTCTACCAGCGACAGGGGGCACTACTGTAGTGGCCAGGACGCGGTGCTGTACCCTTGTTCGCGTCCCTGCTGATTCCAGTAACGTGAGTCAAACGACTCGAGGTACGTGCAGGAGGCGTACCGTTTTGTGAACGAAAGCTGATTGTGTCCGCAGCACACGTTCAATACATTGTTACAACAAAAAATGTGGTAACTGAGCGGGCTTACGAACAGTAAATGTACGAGCTGGACATCCCCTGAGTCACAACGTGGACATCAATTGCGTTTGCGTTTAATGTAAGGCTGTCGTTCTAGGTTAAGGCTAAGGGCGTATTCGTAGCTTCGTATCATCCGGGATTCGTGTCATCCGAAATTGTGGGATCCAATCGAAAAAATCAAAGCTCGAAACGCGAGTATTTCGATTCGCTCCCACACTTTCGGATGACACAAAACTACGAATACGTCCTAAGGAATTTTCTCGCCATGCGACCTGCAACATCGCGTGCAGCAGCAGCCGTTGTTTGCCTTTGCCAACTTCGCGCGAACTGTTACCAAACGATGCACTGCTGGCCCGGCCGAGTCGGCCTACGCTTCGGGACTAGCCCGAACCTTGCTCCCAAGCACTTACTAACTCACCCGCACCGCGTTACCGTTTACATCTTTCGCGTATAAATGTTCGTTCATGCCTTCGCTCACATTTTGTACTCGTTTGACACCCTAGTGCAATCCTCGCTACCTCGATCCATTGCACCCGTAACACTTGGTTATCAGAGCCACTTTCTTTCGAATCGCGCATCTTCGCACCCCAGAAAATCAACTTTTGATTTACCACTCGAAGGGACTCACACACCTTAGCCCCTAGGAGTCGCTGCCCTCGCGTTCTCTCGTAAACGCGTGCAGCCACGACTGCGCCTAGACTAAGACGAGTCGACGCCCTTCGTAATGGCCGAACATATCGACGTCACGACACACGACAGCCTGAACGGACTGATGCGCCAGCTGCACGAGAACTCAGAAGAAACTGCAACGCTGACGGCGGAACGTACGTCCCTGCAAAACGACCTCGCACGAGCATAACAAGCACAGTCACAAGCACCTGGCACTCCGTTATAGCCTGCACCACAAGCATCGCAGCACGGAAGTGTGGGGCAACCCGGGAGCGCGGCCAGAGATGGCGTCGTCCGCCACGACGAAGACGACGATCACGGCACGACACACCCCGAAGCGACGAATGCGGCTAGGAACCAGCCTCGCGTCACGATTTCGGCACCAACCAACGATTTGGCACTGCCGTCACCGATGCCGCTGAAGCGGCAGCGTCCACCATGTTTTGACCCTAGTTAATGGGGTGGTCCTACCGTTCAAGCGTGGTTATTCACGATGAACGCGCTTTTCGACGCCAACTACGTCTCGGAGGATACGGCGAAGATCCGCTACGTCGTGTCGCTGCATCGAGGACCCGCCATAGACTGGTGGCGTGTCATCATCACGAAGCCGAACGACTACGCCACTTAACTGACACGGGAAGGACAAACCGGACCCTGGGCGCCGTCGTATTTCGTGGAGGTGCCACACTATCGCACGCTGGACGCGTGGTGCGCAGATCTGCGCGGTCGATTTGAGCCAATTGCGGCTCCGATCGCGGCGCGTTAGAAGCTCCGTACTTGGCGCCAACTCGGTTCCGTCCAAGATTACACTAGCGTGTTTCTGGCGCTGTGTGAGCAAGTGGGATATACGCACGAAGGCGAGCGTATCTGTCAGAATCCCAACCATTAGACCGTTGGGATAAAAGGGCTTGTTAAGTAGCGTGTCAGTGCGCCCATAACCCCCAAAGCCAACATGCATGTAACCCTGCCGCCCTAGGATCAATTGGGGATCACCAGTGGACCTCTGGCACACCCCCGCACTGGGATGCCCAAAGTGCACACACTAGGATTCGAACTCAAACCTTCGCTATGATACCATGTTAGAATCCCAACCACTAGACCACTGGGATAAAAGAGCTTGTTAAGTAGCAAGTCAGTGCGTCAATAAACCAACAGGCCAACATGCCTATAACCCTTCCCTAGGATCAATCGGGGATCACCAGTGGACCTCTGACAGTATCGACCGCTACATCGGCAGCCTGAAGCACAACATCACCTAGGAAATCCAGCTCCGAGGCATAACTGATTTTCAAGAGATTCTCGACATGGCGGAGAAACTCGATTTCTTCCGCCGACCAAGACTGGGGTCCTACGGAAGCAGCAGTAACTGCGCACATCGATCTCGTGGTACGAACGAGGGCGCCACGATGCGTGCCGTCTGTCAGAATAATATATAAATCTATATATTGTTTCGTAACTGCCTGTAGTGTAGACTACTGTAGTTATATAATGTTCTGTTTGGTGGTGCACCTTTCTTCTTGCCTATTTGTACTGCTCGCTCTATAGTGAAATCACTTTTTCTTTTGTTGAAACCTCTCGACTTTCCTAAACTCACTCGAGCTCAATCGCTCCTACCCAACTTACCATGGCTTCTAAGCCTACATACTAAGAACTTTTCTCACACCGTCGCCGCGAATGCCGCTGCCGCACCGCTTAAAGGGCGCTGCTTTGCGTGCAATCGGTCTGGACACCGTAAGAGCGAATGCCCGGAAAATGCTAAGGGGGAAGCCGAGCACCAGAAACAGACCAAGCAGCAAGGAAACACTAGGAGTTAGTAGCAGACGTGCCCTCTACTAACTGGTGACGCCGCTCGCCCGACCCAACCAACCCTCAACGAGTGATTGTGCCGGTTCACGCAATCAACCACATCAGGCCGAATAAGGAGGGTACCATTGTCAAAATTAGAAGGAAGAAAGAGGATTGAACTAGCAAGAATGAGGATACAAATAGCAAACCCTAGAAGGGTTGTACTCGCTATAGAGCACCCCACTACAGGCTAGAACAATAAGATAATATTCTGACACACCCCCATAGCCAAAGTGGGGTGTAATCAGCAGAGCAGGCAAAGCAAAACAAGCTCAGGGTGGATCACAATGTCACCACACATTCTGAGCACAAGTTCAAGAAGAAATAGTTTAGAGTTTACAATTATAAGCAAAGCTAGTGGTAGTCACAACGGGCAAGTGAGGAGGAGGAGGGAGAGTGAGGGGAGAGGAGACAGGAGGCGACGGCTGAAGCTGCAGACACACGGGCAACAGGAGGCAGACTGGCACAGCGGCTACCGGACAGCGCCCGGACTACAGGGGTAACAGGCCCCGCGGCTCAAATAGCGGCGGACGGGCAACGGACCCACGGGCGGCTGGCACAGCTGGCTACGACTGGGCTACCGGGACAGCGCCCCGGACTACAGGTGCTGCTGACGACAAACTGGCAACCTCCGCTCATCCTCCCGCACACAGTCCCACCCCCCTGATACACACCCACTGGTACACCACTAGCTCTACTCCCACGCACCCCCCTAAAACCCTAAACCCAGTCTCCCACACAACCACCCCCCTCAGCGACAGCTGCAGCAGTGGGAGACGAAGGAGGAGGAGGAGAAAGGGAGGAAGGCACACCGGCCACCCCCATACCCGCCACCCCAAGCGGCCCCCTCAGGTCGCCACGACGGACGACGGGAAATGGTAGGGGGAGGGGGGGGGGGGGGGGGGGGGGAGAGTGGGGCCCACGACGGACCTGAGAGGAGAGCGGGGCCGCGACAAGGGGCGGGGCCGCTTCGAAGGGACGGGGCCGCGACGCAGGGCGGGGCCGCGACGTAGGGCGGAGCCGCGACTGTAGGGCGGGGCCGCGACGAGGGCGGGGCCGTGTCGGTCGGGGCGGGGCCGCGACGTAGGGCAGACGCCCGCGAAGGTGGGGCGGGGCCGCGACGGTCGGGGCAGGGCCGCTTCGAGGGGCGGGGCCGCGACGCAGGGCGGGGCCGCGACATAGGGCGGGGCCGCGTCGAGGGGCGGGGCCGCGACGAAGGGCGGGGCCGCGACGTAGGGGAGAAGCCCGACGTAGGGCGGGGCCGCGACGTAGAGCAGACGCCCGCCGCACGCCTCGGGGTGCACAGCGGGCAAAGAACCGCCGCGCGCCCTAGGGCGCACGGCGGGCAGAAAACCGCCGCGCGCCTCGGGGCGCACGGCGGGAAGGAAAAAAAATCGCCGCGCGCCTCGGGGCGCACGGCGGGAAGGAAAGGTAGCAGCGGAAGCAAGGTGGGGACACACCCACAGGATCGATCCAAGGGGATCGACCTGCTCTGATAGCATGTCAAAATTAGAAGGAAGAAAGAGGATTGAACTAGCAAGAATGAGGATACAAATAGCAAACCCTAGAAGGGTTGTACTCGCTATAGAGCACCCCACTACAGGCTAGAACAATAAGATAATATTCTGACAACCATGGTAGACAGCCCTATACTGCTTAGCGGGAAAATTGGGACAGACTTAGTTAAGATATTCATAGACGGAAGAGCCAGCCACAGCCTGGTCAATACCGCCACAGCACAGAAACTGAAACTGCCACTGGACAGATGCTTACCTAAGATCGACGCAACACTTGTTGACGACACGTCACCGGGTTCGGATTCGATACAGGGGTAACTTCACGTTT